TTTGCTCGGCGTCTCCCTGGTCTGCTGGCTCCCCCAGCAGACCAAGGAGACGGGGAGCAGCTTTTCTCGCCCCGGAGGAGGCGGGCGGCGGGACCAGGCGTCCTGCCGCTCCAGTCCTCCGGGGCGAGAAAATCCCCATTCGTAACTGCAGATCCAACGTAAGTCGGATCTGCGTAACTCGGGGACTGCCTGTACAAATATTTGCAATACAAATAATAGTATAAAATGAACACTGTACACTTTATAGTCTGTGTTGTAATCTAGATCAATATCTTTATAAATATAGAAGAATATAAAAATATTAGATACATCTCAATTGATATTTTATTTTTAACAGTGTGATTAAAACTGCAATTAATCATGATTAATTTTTTAGTTAATCACGTGAGTTAGCTAAATGTTTTGGCAAGTTACCCCTTGATACAAAATCTCTGATGAGAAAATTCACTGGTTACTGTGCTTCACAAATACTAATAGTTTTGAGAATAAAATATTTTAAATGTTAAAAAGGGTGAAAATTGCATTGAAACATTGTAAGTGTTTTCAGTAATAAATACTAAGCATTATGGACCAAACTTGGGATAACTCATAACTTGAGAGCAGAATTTGGCACTATAAGATCAGTGCATTGTAAGCAGTATTCAGATATTCGTTTGGCTAACTATCACCAACTGAAAGATCTTGGTAGGATTTTTTCCACTTTCAAATTATGATTTCACAGGGTTAGTCTGACAATTTAATTATCTGGGTTTTTTTTGGCAGCTGTTCAAGAAAAAAGGCCTTTCAGATAACTAAGTCCTTACTTCCTGTCCTGGAATGGCTACCGAAGTACAGAATAAAGGAATGGCTAATTAGTGATATCATCTCTGGTGTTAGTACTGGACTTGTAGCTACTTTGCAAGGTAAGATCTAGGCAGATTTTATCTGTTATTAAAGATAACATCTGTGTGTACTATATTGACATTCCCATAACTACATCTTATCCTTTCTAATTAATAAGTTAGTATTAAACATGATTAGAAGATCCATGAGGGTTCATGTTATTTTATATTGCATATGATTTAATATATCACAGTAAATCACTGATTTGCTTAATTTAGTCTTCTTTTCAGTTTAGGGAATCTCAGATAGCAAATAGCAATTTCCTTTAAGTATTTTTGAGTTGTTTTTTTAATTCTGCAGACATTAGGGAAACATTTACAAACTGAATTGTGTTACTCAGTTGTTTCGATTGGTCTGTAAGTCACTTACTATTCTTTCTTTCTTTGGCTGAGCACAGCAAACACTTGTTTAGACAAATGTAAACTAGTGAATACAACTTTATGTTAACATTTGTACCAGTAAAGCTTGATTGTGCAAATGTTTGTAGCAAACAAATATGAAAGGTGCATGGACCTGGCCACATTTTAAAAGTTGGAATGGATATTCACAGTACATGGTTTGCATTATTCAGCTGGTCATGTTAAATGCATTTATTAATGATAGAGAAGAGTAGATAAAAAGAGAAGTGGCAAGGTTTACATATTACTCAGCATTAGTTAATCATGACTAGAGAGATGTGAAGAACTCCAGAAGGAGGTAAGTTAGAGCCCCATTCTCCACCCTCAAACTCCTAATATCAGCCACTTTCAAACATAAGACAAGATGGACTACCAGTCTGTTCCAGTATAGTAATTATTTTGGGCTGAATTGTCACTTCATCTAGTCCTGTGTGCAGATCTTCCCCATCCTGTGCAGACAGTAAAGTCAGCTGCCTCTTCAGCACTGTTGCCCATCTTCTGCTTCTCAGTAGGTTGAGTATTTGTATATTACAGCTGCACCTAATGACCTGAAACAAGACTAAGGATAGATAGAGAGGCAACAGCACAGAGGATAAAGAGGGCAGTCTGGAATCAATATGGGTATGTCTACACTACCCCGCTAGTTCGAACTAGCGGGGGTAATGTAGTCATCCGCAATTGCAAATGAAGCCCGGGATTTGAATTTCCCGGGCTTCATTTGCATGAAGCCGGCCGGCGCCATTTTTAAATGCCGGCTAGTTCGAACCCCGTGCCGCGCGGCTACACGCGGCACGGAGTAGCTAGTTCGGATTAGGCTTCTAATCCGAACTAGCTGTACTCCTCGTGGAAGTACTTCGAAGTAGGAATAAGACCCTCCGGAAAAGGGCACTTTTTCCGGAGGATCGGGGCCAGTCTAGACGCTCTTTTCCGGCTTTTTTAAAAGCCGGAAAAAAGCGGCGGGCATTTTTATTTTAATGCCGCGGGGGATATTTAAATCCCCCGCGGATTTCCCTACGACGACTAGTGAAATTTAAATGCCCCTTCCGGAAAAGGGGCCAGTGTAGACGTAGCCCTAGGGAAATAGCTATTCCTACTATCCACCCAGACCTCCCCCAATGCAACCTGAGATCATTGCTTCTTGTTCTGCCGTCTGCAATCAATGAGAACAGCCTCGCTCCATCGTCTTTGGAACCCCCCATCAGGTAGTTGAAGGCTGCTATTAAATCCCCCCTCACTCTTCTCTTCTGTAGACCCTCAAATCCATCTGCCTATATTCACAAGTCATATGCTCCAGCCCCCTAATCATTTTTGTTGCCCTCTGTTGGACTTTCTCCAGTGCATCCACATTCTTTCTGTAATGGGGGACCTGGAATTGGACAGAGTACTCCAGATGTGGTCTCACCAGTTTTGAATAAAAGGGAATAATTAGTTCTCTAGATCTGCTGGCAATGCTCTTCCTAATGCACCGTAATACGTCATTAGTGCTGCCTGCCCTCCCCCGCATGCTGTTGCCTTCTGCTTGCTGTCCCATGCTGCTACCTCTGAACCCCCTCCCCCACCCCCCCACCTCCCGTGGACAGGGTCTGCTGCCTCAGAGCAGTCTCTGTCCATGCTCGGTGGGATGTGGAGCAGCTTCTGTCCATGGGGGTTATCAGAGGCAGTAGCGTGGGCGGCAGGCAGCCAATCTGCATGTGGAGCTGTCTTTTAAACTGGCTCCCCTCATAAACCAGCTTCCACCTTCCACTCCACACTGCTGTGGCCTCCGATATTCCCAGGGACTATCAAATAGTTGTGTAGCTGCTAAGATTTCGTGCACTTACTCAACTATTCAATTACATGATATTTCAATATTGCTTGTGGGGAAGAAAGAGAAAAGCTCAAAACCACAGCTCTCCTGTGTCCTCCTGACATTACTCAAGTTCCAACACTGGAAGCATATGGCCAATAATGCCAGGAATATCCATCTAATATAGTATAATCTAATCTAAGCATTTATTTCATGCTCATCAGTGCAAAAATTGAGTTCCTAACAAACTGTTCAATATCACAGTATACAGGCCCACACATGATCTATATGGGTATGTCTACACTACCCTCCTAGTTCGAACTAGGAGGGTAGTGTAGACATACCCTATCATCCCTAATGTGGACAGCAACCAGCAGAATCTGGCAAACCTGTGCATGCGCAACAGTAACCAAAATGTCTTGTGGGCCATACATAGAACCCCAATGGGCTGCATGTGGCCCATGGGCTGTAGGTTGCCCACCACTGCTGGTATACCCTATAATTCCCATCACCAGCTGGTTGGATGCATAGTAACCAGGCAGTGGAACAACAACAAAACTGAGCCAAAAATTAAGCAGATGCCAGGGATCCTCAAGTGCTTTGCTCCTCAACTACGCAGATCCTATGACTCTTCATGTGTACTGGTTTTCAGCCTTCCCAGGAGTCTATTATTTATCCTGTAACACTTTGCGATAATTGAGAGAGGACTAATGGACTCTGTAATGGGAGTAAGTGCTGCCTGCAACAGCATTAACTTTCTATACATATTATAGTTCTAGGAGTGGGATAAAACACTTCTCTACACCTCTTATTTCTTCCTTCACTTTTTCAGTGTAGCTGATAGGTCAAACAGATAAACAGAAGAAGGCAACATGGGTATCCAGGGAAAAGCATCTTGCACAGCTGCTTTTTTGTTCAATGGGGCCTCATCATGGACTTTCTTATTAACTGGTCATTTTATTGTTAAGGAACAAAATTTTCAAATTTGGGTGCCTAAGACTAGACATCTAAATCCATATGTAGTTACCTAAATAAAAATGGACTGATTTTCAGAGCTGTGGCATAAATAGGTATCCATGTTTGAAAAATTTAACCATAATTTAGACTTTTTTGCACCAACTATCCATGTGGAAAGGTGGATCAGTTGCTTTCACAGCAAAGTTCTTCCTGAGCCTCACAAAGCTTTCAGAATTTGTGCCTATGTTTTGTGAAAAAGCAAAGGGGAGGTGTAACTCTTAATATTTACATCTGTAACTACCTGTTAGGTACTCTCAAAGATGTCAAGGCACAAACACTCCAATTTGTGCCCACAACTGAATTACGATGCAACATGTATTTTAAAATTGTGGCTGGCTGAAAACAAGCTGCCTTCCTGAAAATTTGGCCCATTTCTTGACCAGAGATTAGTCTGTTGTGAGATCTGTAACTAAAATTATGATTACATTTGTTTACAGGTTTGGCATTTGCATTACTGGTTGCAGTTCCTCTTGGATACGGTCTCTACTCTGCATTTTTTCCCCTTCTGACATATTTCATCTTGGGAACATCAAGGCATCTCTCAGCCGGTAACTGGCTACATTTAATTTCAGTTTCAGTCAATTCTCTTTTTTCATAATGTTTATGGGAGCTTGTCACTTTATTAACTATCATCAGGTTTGTGAGGCTTAAAACGTATTTTGGCTCAGTACAGGGGGCTGTGCATAATGCTTAACTTTACCTGTTCCCATGCACACTTCTGCTCTTATTTGTGCTGAAATTCATCACTCCAGTGTTGTGCTAGACACCATCCAGAATCAAAACCACTGAGAAATTCATTCTATATTATTTAATGAACAGAATTTTCATCATCACAATAACCTTTTCACTTGTTCTCTGATGTAGAACTTCTGATTTTATCTCGCAAACACTTTGATTTTGTGATGTAGATAAAGTCATGCTTTATACTGTTCTTCTTTGCAGGACCTTTCCCTGTGGTCGCTTTGATGGTGGGATCTGTTGTGCTGACCATGGCCCCCGATGAAAAGTTCCGCATAGTGAGCAGTAATGCTACAGGACTTAATAAAACGCTGATAGACACTGCAGCCAGAGATGCACAGAGAGTAGTGGTTGCCAGTACCCTCACATTTCTGGTTGGAATTATTCAGGTAATATAACTGCCTCAAAGACTTAATGTTACTTTTACTTCATTAAATAATTGGCAAAACTGCAGCTAGAAATAACTTATTAGGACACCCTTCCTGTGGTAAAACATACAGGAGAGGGCAAAGTCACCCTGAAATCCACACAGCTATCAAATGACAGAGAACTGAACACATTTCCCCCTTCATGGGAAAAGGTTTATGGCAGCATAGCTGTGCGACTGGGCAGAAGCTGAGGCTACGTCTACACTACGCACTTTGCTGGAAAAGGCAATGCAAATGAAGTGCAGATTAGCATTTTGTCGCACTTCATTTGCATAATTTATTCCGAGCCGTTTTTGCACAAGGGGGTTTTGTGCAAAAACAAGCAGTGTGGATGTTTCCTTGTGCAAAAACCCCTTTTTGAATGCTTTTGTGCAAAAACTTCTTGCGCAAAAATGGATTGGAAGAGATTATTCAAATGAAGCACGAGAAAATGCTAATCAGCGCTTCATTTGCATTGCCTTGTCCGGCAAAGTGCATAGTGTAGACGTAGCTTGAGTGACTACAAAAACCCTGAAGATCTGGAGGGAAACCATATTCCAACAGCATAGATCTTGGATCATGACAAAAGAGGGCCAACCTTTCTGCACAGCTCTGCAGTCTTCCCTTGTTTCCTTGGAAGGTATGACGTTCAGATACACCAGGTTAATTTGTGGGAAGATGGTTCAATGAGTCCTGGTGAATACAAAAAGAACATGGTGTTTTAACAGAAAATGCATAAGTAGACACCAAATTCTGTAAAAGTGTGTGAAAATTTGAACCACAGAGGTCACAAGTGGATAGTGGGGATACAGAAGAAATCCGCAGGAACTAAGACACTATATCAAGTTAAATATCACTCAATAGTGTGACACTAGCAAAAAAAATCATTCTGGGATGAATTAACAGGAGTGTTGTGAGCAAGACAACAACCAATTCTTCCACTCTACTCTGTGCTGATTAGGCCTCAGCTGGAGTATTGTGTCCAGTTCTGGGCACCACATCTCAGGAAAGATGTGGAGAAACTGGAAAAAGTCCAAAGAAGATCAACAAAATGATTAAAGGTCTAGAAACATGGCCTATGAAGGAAGATTGAAATAGTTGGGTTTGTATAGTCTAGAAAAGAGAAGAGGTTGTGGAATCTCCATCAGTGGTAATATTTAAGAGCAAGTTAGACAAACATCTGTCAGGGATGATCTAGATGGCACTTGGGCCTGCCATGAATGGAGTGGACTGGACTTGATGGCCTTTTGAGGTCCCTTCCAGTTCTAGTATTCTATGATTCTATAATTGTATAAATCCTGTTGTCCCAGTGACATGTGGTGATATACTCTCTGAGGCTCTTACACTTTTGCTTATTAAACTAGTTTCAGATTTACCAGATTCACACAGGCCCAGGTTATGTGTGATATAACTACTCACACTGAATAATACTTTACATCACAGATAACTTGATTTCCTTCGGTGAGAGTACTTATCGTATAAGGTGCAAGTCCATGTGAGTAGGAGAGCACAATCTGGCCCAGTTGCCATCTGAACTCTTCCCAGTGAGCTAGTATAGTGAATCCTGAACATTTTGTAACATTGTTGAACCTTTTAACTATTTAGCAAACTGTTATTTCCTGGTGATTTTTCCAGCTTGTGTTTGGAGCCCTTCAGATCGGTTTCATTGTGAGGTACCTTGCAGATCCCCTGGTTGGAGGCTTCACAACTGCAGCAGCATTTCAAGTTTTTGTTTCACAACTGAAAATAGTCTTAAACGTTTCAACCAAAAATTATAATGGGATTCTTTCCATCATATATGTAAGTATGCCCTGCTGATTTGCTTTTGTTTTGTGCCACAGTTTCTTATGTCTGTCTTTCTTCTGCTGCTTTAATTTCATGCAGGAGTGATACACATGATAGATTGAAAGAATATAGAATATAGACATGATCCTGCTCCCATTAAGGTCAATACATCAATAGGTATTTGGCTGTAATTGACCCCAATTCTTCATTTGAGAAGGCTCCTTTTCCTTTCCGCTGTTCATAGGATGTTACAAGACTTTTATGAAGGTCAGTTTAATTCAATCTGAGTGTCCTGGGAGAAGGAACATATGGAAACAATAGTGGAGCCAGATTAATACAATGGAGATGACAAAATATAGGATGATCAATGTGATTCTTTTTTAATTGACATTGTTGAGACCTATCTTTCTGGAGCAAAAGGTCTTGCATTCTGTCCTTGTTAACCACTCTCATCTCTGAGGCTATGTCTACACTGCAGGCTTTTGCTGGCAGGGAGTATGCTAATGAAGCACTCGTTAGCATTTGTCACGCTGTCATTTGCATATCTCTGCTGATGCTTTTTGCGCAAGAGGTTTTGTGCAAAAACAGGCAGTGTAGACAGGTCTGTTTTGCGCAAAAACCCCTTTTTGTGCAAGATCCCATACACCTTTTTTGAGGCATAAGGGATCTTGCACAAAAGGGCTGTTTTTGCGCAAAACGTACCAATCTACACTGCCTGTTTTTGCGCAAAAACCTCTTGTGCAAAAAGCATTGGCAGAGATATGCAAATGACAGCACAACAAATGCTAATGAGCGCTTCATTAGCATACTCTTTGCCGACAAATACCTGCAGTGGAGACGTAGCCTCAGTGGCCAAGTGCTATGCAGGATATGGTCCTATGAGGTCAGGATATTACTGCAACACATTTGAGATATTGCATTATTTTTACAAGAATCTCACAGTTATGAAGGATGCAGCAGAAACGTTAAAATAATTGACTGAGGGACTTAAAGGATAGTTACAGAGTAATGCTTGAGAAATTATTAATTACTGCTTCCTGTCAGATCTGTCTGGGTAAATCTTGTAAAAAATGGTGAAATGAAGAATGATCTTGACTGTACTGTAGTAACACAGGCTGAACCTCTCTAAATCAGGACTGTGGTCCGGTAATACCCATGGTCCAGCAGGACCACGGATGTTCAAGACCCGAGAGTCCCAGTGAAGGGCTGGTGGCTGGGAGCTCTGTGGGCTGGCAGGACAGTGGGCTGCCAGGAGGCTGGGGTGTCCGGCTCACCCCAGCTGGCCTGCCTGGCACCCAGCAACTGGGTTTCCCAGCAGGTCTCGGAGCTGGCACCCACCAGCAGGGATGCCTGGCAGGGCTGGGATCCCAGCAGGTGGCAGCGGGGCTGCCTGGTGGAGCTGGCAGCCTGGCACACCAGGCGCTGGGCTACACAGTGGGGTCAGAAGCTAGGTGCACCCTAGCTGGCCTGGAGCTAGTCTGCCCAGTGAGGCAAGGAAAGGCGGTCACTGGCCATGCAGGAGGGCTGATGGCAGGGGGGGAGCCAGCCAGGAGGCTGGCAGCTGAGCCCGGGCTGTGGGGTCAGTAGCACGGGGATCAGATATGACTTCTCCTGGTCTGGCAAATCCCTCATCCAGGACTGATCATGGAGAATCAGGGAGGTCCGACCTGTATTGATGTTGTGGATTGTCCCATATTATAGAACCTATTTGTAACCCCCAAGGAGATTACTTAGATTCCCAGGCCTTGTCTGCTGGCAGCTCAGGGAGAGGCACTCTGAGTTTGCCTTGGCTCCCCTTCCCTACCAGGGCCAGAGTCTGCCCAGCAACCCATAGGGAGTGAGATGCCCCTCCCAGGGGGAAGGAGAGATCATTGTTGGAGGAGCCTGGAGCCAGCCAGGACAAGGGGAAGGCTGCCTGTGTGGGAGCTAGTAAGCCCCAGGCCTGCATGCAGGGTTCCCCCTGAGAACTGGCCTCTAGGGACCTGAAGGCAGGATCCCTCAGCTGGGTTTTATGTCTCCACTGTTGATTCCCAGTTTGTGGAGTTTGCTGGGAGGCTTCCCCAGCCAGGCTGAGTTGGCTCTCCAGCTCCCTGGGTGAGACCAGTGACCACATGGTCAGCTCTGCTCGATCTGCTAGTTCAGGGCTGCAGCCTGCTGTGTGGGTCTGAATGCTGGGGTAGGAGATTATAGTTTGAATTTTGGTGCAGTTGTGTGGCCTGCACCTTGAGCCTTGCACCCCTTCGCGGTGAGGGGAAATTCTGGGACCGAAGCAGCCTGATTCCTGCCTGAAGAGGATCCCTGCCAGAAGAGAGCAGCCCCTCAGTGACTGAGTCATCTCTGAACCTGAGGCTCATTCATGGAGTGTGTGAGTGCACCAACTTTTAGTTAGTCAGGGAATTTGGGGATTTTATTACCTGCTGCATATTAAACCTGTGGAGGGATTTGCTGCTTCTCCCATGTGTGAGTCCTTTGGGCTATACTGGACCTAGTCAGCCCCACTGCTATACCACTGCAGAGAAGAATTTTGTGGTCAAAAGTCATCAAGGGCCCCAACAAAGTACGCGTACCAACGGGACACTGATCTTACAGTTGCTGGGCACCGGTGAACCTAAAAATAGTGTTTTACCCTGTTCTGTTATATTTGTCTCCTGTTTAATATAATTGCGTTTATTATAGTGTTATGTGTTTGTGCTATTTTCTGGGAGTCTCCAACTATCTGGCAAATACATGGGGATTACCCTGGGCTAGAATTTTCCTCCCAAGCTGCCCTGGTGACCCTGCCAGGAAGGAGCGAGGGGGGTGGAGGCACCGCCAAATAAATCCATCAGAAAAAATAAAGTTGAGTGGGTGGCGGGATCCAGAAGAACCCAGACCTGTCCATCAAAACCTGTAAGGAGATTGGCTTTAAAGAAGGTAACCAGGCGGAGAGGGGGCGCTACATATTGTTTTCCCCACTAAAGCTGAGTATTCTCACTGTCTTCAGTGGGAGCAGGATTGAGCTCAAAGGGCTATACAGGCAGTCCCCGACTTACGTGGATCCGACTTACGTGGGATCCCTAGATACGAACGGGGTGAGGCAACTCCCGCACATGCGCAGCAGCATTCCCGGGGCTCGCTCACCTGGGTCCTAGGATCCTCCTCCTCCTCGGGCCGGCTCCGACTGGGGTCCCGCAGAGCTGCCGGGCAGAGGAAAAGTGCCTCCCCACGCCCGCTCCCCCCCCCCGGGGCCTCGCATCCTGCACGCCTCCCCGCTCCCCCCCTGCCAGCAACAGGCTGCCCCCTCCCCTGAGCAACAGGCTGCCGAACAGCAGACAAAAGCAGCCTCTCCGCCCCTCCTCCCCCTATACATGCTGGGCTCCCTGGGCAAACAAAGACTCCACCAAAACAAACAAAGTGCTGGCCTCATTGTGTTAGCAAAAAAAGGACCCTCCTCCTAGAACCCTGGGTGGTGTGTGGAAATAAAGCTATTAGCTCAAAGCATGGTGCAGAGCTGTTTGGTATTTGATGAGTTACTCCTTTAGTCCTGAGTTTGTCACAGGGACAGAAATAGATGTGAAATCTTCTGAACAGGGGAACAGACAGCAAAACAAACATTAGAGGGGAGTTAACCTTTCCCTATGCTATCCAAAACTAAAAAAAATGTTTGGCTAGAGTTTCCCCTACAATATGTACCAGTTCCGACTTACATACAAATTCAACTTAAGAACAAACCTACAGTCCCTATCTTGTACGTAACCCGGGGACTGCCTGTACTGTACTTCACAGTAGGGCTAACAAGTCTCAAAAGGGGGACATGGTTTGGTTTAAAAGAATCAGAGACTTTAAAATATTACTCTCCTGACACTGGCATATATGAAGACTAGGTGGAAATATGTTCAACTCTTTGCAATGTTTATGGAATAGCCAGGCTATTCATGTATAGAATGAAATAAATTGACTTACAGACTAGGAATAAGTATATGAAATTGAGAAAAAAGGAGAATATGAGGAAGAATATTTGGAAAATCTTCCTAACAGTGAGACGTGTTAGTCTGAGGAATAATCTTTTTAGGAATTAATGGAAGCTCTGGGACATTTAAAATGAAATTGGACATAGCACTCGGTAATGCACTATAGGGAACAATGCTGTACTGTCATAAAGATGGACTAGAAGATGATATCTCAGTTTTTCCCATCTCTGTCTTCTATGATTTTCAAAGGGAAGTGCATCTAGAAACAGTGTTTTTAAAAAGGAATTAGATGGTGTTACCAACTCTAATCAACTTCAAAATGAAGTGCTGATGCTCTGGTTAAGACTCAGTGTCTTTGTAGAATAACAAGTGGATCAAGCAGAGTGCAGAATATATATGAGTTCTAATTTCACCTCTGCTAGTGGTTTATGTGGTTTTAAGCAAATATTTTAATATCTCTGTGTTAAGTAGGAATAATATGCACTCATCTATTTCACTTAGGTGCTGGGATGGAATTAGGGAAAGGAGTGAGAATAATTAATAGTCCTCTCTCTGGACCAACCTTTATACACTTATTGTTAAAGGAATATTATTTTTACCATTTTGTAAGCAGATTTTTAAAAATCAGCTGTGCAAATTGCAATGTGTGCAGTAAAACAATAAGATCACATCCTCCTGTCCCCAGTGCTGCAAGGGTAGCTGGAGATGTTGTCTATTACATACTTGCTGTAGGAACTTAAAAAACAATAAATGGTCCTGTTTCACTTTAGAGGCTAACAAAAAATGTAGATGGTATGAGCTTTCGTGGGCACAAACCACTTCCTTCTGGCCTGGCTGAATTCTGAAGGGAGAGTTTGGGCACCATGAATTGAGGTGGCCTTGCTTTGCCCCAGAGCAGGATTACACACAGCGTGGCAGGATCTATGATGGCAGCATTACACTCTCTGGCTATGGACAATGGCTGAGCAAATACTTAATCCACACACTAGAGACCATGCTCCTTGGGCATATGGTGAGTGAGCCAATGCTTTAGTTATGCATCTGCTAGCTCCTTCTTGAGCACCATGGATGGATCTTGCCTGCTATTTGGGCAAGGAGGAATATGTTTTTTTTCTTGCCCCGTGCTTCAGCAAAACACAAGCAGCATTTTACCCTTATTGTTTTTTATTAATGATACAGAACTTAAAAGGCATTTGATAAATAAGAGATCAGTCATGCTCATAGTTATACTCCTTCAGTTAAATTCACCATGAGATCACCCCACTGACTCTGTAAGAGCTTGACAGTGCACAAAAGAAACTCATATTCATAGTCAAATTCTTTAGGCCCATAAGAATGAACATGTGGGACAGGTAATCCCTGACCTTCTCTGAGGTTTTATGTCTGCTTCTTTGTATGAGCTATTTTCCTCATTCTGCTTAAGTGGCTTCAAACATTTTGAATTGTCTTTTTTTTTTCAGACCCTCATTGAAATATTTCAAAAAATTGGTACCACTAATATTGCAGATCTCATTGCTGGGCTACTGACCATTTTTGTTTGCATGGTAGTTAAAGAAATAAATGATCGATACAAACACAAGATCCCTGTTCCTATTCCCATAGAAGTAATTGTGGTAAGCAAAATACCCTGATAAGAAACATGGCTGTTTTCAGGAAGACAAGAGCAATTTTCACTATTGAAACCATTGTTTTATTTAATTCCAGACAATAATAGCCACAGGGATATCATACGGTGCTGATTTGGAAAAAAGGTACAATGCAGGCATTGTTAAAACCATTCCAAGAGGGTAAGTGCATTAGTGTTCTGAGATACAGTTATTACTTTAAATGGCTATTAATGACACTAGTACAAGAAATAGTAGAATCAGAGAGAGACACAGTTTGTGTCTCAGCTAAACATTTCCTGAGTTCTAGTCCTGGCAATGTCACTATTTCCCTTTGTAGCCTTTGGGGACCATCCCCCTACCTGTAAAATGGGAATAATAATACTTACTCTCCCTTGTAAAGCATTTTTTAGGTGAGATCTATGGATTAAATGCTATATAACAGTTAAGTGTTATTATTAATTATAATAATCAGTTAGGGTACGTCTACACTAGCTCGTTAGTGCAAGCTAGGTAGGGTAATTAGGGCAAGCGGAGTTGCAAATGAAGTCCGGGATTTTAAATATCCCGGGCTTCATTTGCATGTTCCTGGGCGCCGCCATTTTTAAATCCCCCTTAGTCTGAACTCCATGCCCGTGGCTACACGCAGCATGGAGTAGATAGTTCGAATTAAAGATCCTAATTCGAACTACCATTACTCCTCATTCCACGAGGAGTAACGGTAGTTTGAATTAGGATCTTTAATTCGGACTACCTACTCCGTGCCGCGTGTAGCTGTGGGCACGGAGTTCAGACTAAGGGGGATTTAAAAATGGCGGCGCCCAGGAACATGCAAATGAAGCCCGGGATATTTAACTCCCGGGCTTCATTTGCAACTTTTGTAGTGAATATGAGAGTATGGAAAATGTATAAATGTTAAGTGTTTTAATAATAATAGGACTCAATCTTGAAAACCCATCCTGATGTTATTGGTCCCACTGTTATCCTTATTCATAAAGTACTCCGGCATACTCACAAGAGTAACAGTTGCTCTGACAATTGTCACATAGGAGATTAGAGCATTTTATTATAACTTTCATATTCTATTTGGTGTGCAAGCCTTAACAAACTGATATTTGCAAAGTTCTTTCAGTTTGTCAGATGCAAAGTGTTAAGTGTACAAGTGTGAAATATTGTTAATGTAATAGCGCCATTAATCACAGAATGGTTAATCTATCCAAAACCTATACTTCTTTGCTTTGTTAGCACAAAGCCAAATTTTAATTCCCCATACTGTGAAACCAGTGGGAGTTCTGTCACTGACTTCAAAAGGGAGGGCTGGCCTTTCATGTGGGCAACTGTCCAGGGTGCCTGGGACGGGGGGTGTCATGGTCAACCCTCCCCCACCAACCATCTAAAAGCCCCTTTAACTGGGCCTGGAATTGTGGAGAAGCAGGGCATACATTTACATTTGCCCTAGCTGGTTTCTGCTCTGCACTAGGCTTGGGAGTGCCCTAGCTGGTTTCTGCTCTGCACTAGGCTCCAGATGCTAATCCTATCCAGGCAGGGGAGGGACAAAGCTTCCTCTTCACAGGCTGCTCCCCGGGCTGGGTCAGGCCCACCTTTGAACCTCCCCAGGATGCAGGAAGCTCTGCATCCCTGTCCTTCTGCTTCCTGCCTCCATCGCTTCCCAGCCTGGAGATGAGAAGGTCACTGTATGAGGAGCTGCCCAGCCATCTTCCCAGCCCCCAGGCAAAATGGCATTGTGGGTGCCAAAATACAAATTTGTCCAGCGTGCTATTTTTCCTCAGGCCAGCCCAGTCATGGGACCAGGATTTGGGACATATTGAACAAGAAAAGCATGTTATATGGTCAGCACATATTCCCCTCTTTTTGTTAACTTGAAATATTATCATGCATCTTATTAGTAGTGTGCATGTCCTGCTGCCTTGAAGCTTGTTGGTAAATCTAGTAAACAGAATTTGATTAAAATTGATAATGTAAATGTATGCCTTTAAATACTAGGTTCTTGCCTCCGGTTCCTCCTGCTGTCAGTATGTTTTCAGAAATGATAGCAGCTGCATTTTCCATTGCTGTGGTCGCTTATGCTATCGCTGTGTCCGTGGCAAAAGTCTATGCAACGAAACATGACTATGCTATTGATGGAAACCAGGTATATGAAATGCAGTTAATTTAAAAACTAATTAAATGTAATTTGTGCATGAAGGATGCTTATATGTCCAAACTGGCGGAGGCGGAAAAGTATAGAGTACTAGAACTGGAAGGGACCTTGAGAGGTATACAGATTGATCAGACACTAGCGAAACTCTGATATGTGAAATTAATTAAGCTGTTTGAAAAAGCAGATGAGATAGGATCATGCGATATAGTGATACATAGAGGAGATTGGTGTGAACTACCTAAGGGTATGTCTACACTACCCTCCTATTTCGAAATAGGAGGGTAACCGCACTTGCAAATGAAGCCCGGGATTTGAATTTCCCGGGCTTCAGTTGCATAAGCGGGGCGCCGCCATTTTTAAATCCCCGCTCGTTCGAACCCCGTGCCGCACGGCTACACGCGGCACAAACTAGGTAGTTCGAACTAGGCTTCCTAGTTCGAACTACTGTTACTCCTCATTCCACGAGGAGTAACGGTGGTTTGAACTAGGAAGCCTAGTTCGAACTACCTAGTTTGTGCCGCGTGTAGCCGTGCGGCACGGGGTTCGAACGAGCGGGGATTTAAAAATGGCGGCGCCCCGCTTATGCAACTGAAGCCCGGGAAATTCAAATCCCGGGCTTCATTTGCAAGTGCGGTATGCCTACATTACCCCACTAGTTCAAACTAGCGGGGTAGTGTAGACATACCCTAAGATACTGAGCCAGTGCCTTAGTCCTAGTTATTCTCCTCTGTGTTTTTCCAGTGACATCAAAGCACTGAAAGCTGTTCTCAAGAGGCAATTAGGGATATCCATTACGTGGGGAGGAGGATACCATGCCAACATTATTCTGCCTGATTCTGTTTCTCTGCCTAAAGAGTGTTCTGAGGCGGGTTGGTGATAAGGAGGGGGACAGTGCTGGGCTGAGGGAGCAGTACCTGAAAGACTGCTCCGGCCAACATAAGGTTACACTCAGTCAACTGGCTCACACTATTGTTTTAACTATATCTATTTCTGAACCGATTTGGTTATAGTGTGACAAAAATTGTGTCAATAAACCATGTGGTTGCTCAGACTGTCTCTGTTCCTGGGATATAAGGAAAGTGAAGAAATGGCTTAGAGCTACCTTTGTCTCCTCCTCCTCTATCCATTCTGAACATCTATTGCATCCTTGGAATATGGGGGAAAGTTGTTTTCACTACAAAAAATGAACTAAGCTTGTTGTTTAACTGGTCTTTCTATCCTTTAGCACTAATGAACAATGCCCTAGTTACAATGTATCTGATTTGAGAAATATTTTTATGGATCATGTAACTGAATTAGCCCTCTTAACATGTGCATTATGAGTGGAGACTCCTCTGTGTTGGCCATTGTGTGTCCTGAAGCTATAATACGCAATGTTCACATTGGGAAACTTTAAATTAAGGTTGTCTAACATGTCCTCACTTTCAGTTTAATGAGGCTAAATGGGTAGTACAGCTGCTTGTACTGTTTTCAGCATTCAACCAGCACTACCTTATTCCAGAAGACATTAGGTAGCGATTACAGTAGCTGAATGATTGGTAATCAAACAAAATTATATTCCTTCTAGTACTAACATTATGCCTGGAAAACATTCAGTAACAGAAAGTCCTAGAAAGAAAGCTAGATTACTATACTAGTCTACTTAAAATAGATGAGTGAAAAATAATAGCATAAAAACAAGCAATGAAAGAAGGTTTAAAGGAGTATCAGTTACCTTCTTTCATCAGTGATAATTTATTTTCATAGATTCATAGCTTTTCAAACCTAACAACAGTAGCAGTCAGTGATCTATTTTGAAGATCTTCCAGAACAAAGTTGTATCAAAATCTGTGTGGATCATCTAGGTCTCTTTTATTTAATGACCTGGCTTCCATAGCCTACTCTGGTATTAAAACTTTTGCATCCATAAGGGCTAGTCTAAACACATTTTTGAACTGATGTAACAATATTGGTTTAGAAACCATTATCTTTAATTCTGCATGGATGCAATTATACTGGTATAAATGGTTTTATTGAGAGAGCCTATACATTTATGGAATTAATCTATATTAACATAGGCATCATCATACTGGTATGACTGTCTCCACTGAGAGGGATTGCAACAATGTAACTATATTGTTTTTTAGAATGATGTAATTAAATCAGTAAAAAATACTGTGTGCGGACCACCAGCTCTAAAACACTTAATAGTAGCTTTTTGTAATGAATCCAGTATTTTGTGGATGCCTACTGTATTTCTCACTTTACAGATTCCTATAAGGAAATCTTAACTTTGCTGTGCAAGTGACATCTTAAAGAATCTACATTTTATATCATCATCTAATCTTCTTCTAGGAATTTATTGCCTTTGGGGTCAGCAATGTGTTTGCAGGAGCTTTTTCTTGTTTTGTTGCAACCACAGCTCTGTCGCGTACTGCTGTCCAGGAAAGCACTGGTGGGAAGACCCAGGTAATGGGCGTATTTTACTATTAATTGTAAAGATATTTCAGTTTAATATTGCATAGGAAAAGGACTACTCAGAGGGATAACGATAACAATGAAATGCTTGTGAATATGACCCTGGATGGACTGACAGCAGAATTTGAACCCAAGCCATTCAGTGCTAAACACATGAAATGCTACTGCTGAAACTGAACACCTCAGTATTGCAACTGGCACCTGTGACACTCAGAAACTTCTTATGTCTCCTCTAGAGGGAGACAATGACTTTCTTAGTGTATGTTACTCTTTACATCTGGGGTGGGCAATAAGAGGCTCGCAGCTGGACACAGTTGCCAGGGTTAGCTCCTGATGGGCTGCCAGACACTTTATTTACCTGAGCATCCACATGCATGGCCACTCACAGCTCCTTTTGGCCATGGTTCACTGTTGCCAGCCAGGGGGAGCTGTGGAGAATGGCTCAGGGAAATAAAGCATCTGGTGACCTGCCATAAGCTAACCCTGGAGAACCACGTCCAACCAGAGGGCTACTTATTGTCCATCTGTGCTTTACATAATAAACATCTATAAATTGTTTATTTAATAGGAGCATTATTCATAGGGGAAGTAGCAAATAGTGTGGATTTCCTCCTTTCCTCCTTTTTTGTGTATGGTATACATGTGGGCTGCTGAGACTTCACACTTTATATAGATTGTTTCTGGATTCAGCCATGTATGCTTACACATAATAAAATGTTAACCAGTCTTCTTGTTTACAAAGAAAAATAAAATATGCCAGTATATGCATTATGCATTGTGAGTCTGAAAACAGAGCAGAGAGTCTAACCATACTTATTTCATATCAACACTACTATCTTCTTTGCAGGTTGCTAGCATGATCTCAGCTGGGATTGTACTGATTTCCATTGTGGCTCTGGGGAAATTGCTAGAGCCCTTACAGAAGGTATGTTGCTTCTTCTACCCAGCACACAATCATCCCTGCACCGTTTAGGCCAGATGCTCAGATGCTGTAAATTGGAATAGCAGCTCCATTTGGTGCTGTACCGATTTATACCAGCTGACTATTTGGCTGATAGTGTATGGTTTTAATTTTATTTCATAACCAGAACATTGACCAAAAAAATTACACAGTGTGATCTCTCTTCTGAATAACCCAGTTTTCATAATCTCTCTTTGCAGTCTGTGTTGGCAGCTGTTGTCATTGCTAACTTGAAAGGGATGTTCATGCAGGTGTTTGATGTTCCTCGTTTGTGGAGACAGAATAAGGCAGATGCTGTAAGTCATTTACTTTTCTTCTTTGAGTGTTGGTTTGTGTCAGTTCCATGCTAAGGTATGTATGTGCCCCTGGAGCTCTGCACTCATGTGCTGGTATATAGGGTGCCGCTGGCCCCACACCCTCTCAGTTCCTTCTTACAGCCCTTGATGTTTGCAGGAATGTCTCTTGCACTTGCAAGGTCCCAGTAACATAGGAACTAGGTTTTGTACCTGGGGTCCTGGCTATTGGCACCTAACCTACGGGCTCTCGCTGTAGGCCCTGTCCTGGCTACCAGCTCCTCTCCTAGCCCAGTTGTAGCTACCAGCTGGCCTTGCATCTGAGAGCTCCCCTGCTGACTTGGAGTCTTGGCTTCTGGGCCCAAGTCCCAGCTGCTGGTTCTGCACCAAGGGTCTTGGCTTTTCTCATCTGTGGTTCCAGCCTTGGCCACCTTACTGCAGCTGGAAATGGTGAACCGCAGCCAATGGGAGCTATGAGGCTCTGTGGCTATGGACACTTAGATAAACAAAGCATTGCAGACCCTTCAGCAGCTTATCTGGGTTGGCCTATGAACCAACTTTGAAAGCCACTGATCTAGGCTCCTAGTCCTGTTTGGGACCTCAGCAACAATGCAACTGGCATCAGAGGCCAGATCCTAGTATGGAAACATAAAACTGCCCTAAAGCAAGCATATACAGCCAGTGAAAATGTTTCCCTGTTTAGGAGGCACTTGTAGCAGCTTGTATATCACACTCATTCCTAGTCTCCCATTGGAAAGGGCATAGAGGGAAGGGATATGTCTTCAGGGAAGGGTGTCTCTGCATATTGGCCATCTTGCTGTTAACAAGTAGCAAAGTTTAGAGCTGCCTTCTAATTCAACCAGCTGAGAAATGGAGGAATGTAAAGATGGCTTGAAGTCACTTTTACCACCCCACTCTGGTCTTTTGCTGACCAGTTTGGATGGATGAGAGAATCGGCCCCTTATATTCAGGTTCTGAACCAATATGTAACTGTGACAGGGTTTGACTCATCACTATGGTGCCTCCTGGGGTACATCTACAGAGCAGTGTTATTTCAGAATGTCAGCCATTCCAAAATAATGTATTGTCCATCTACCCAGCAAGCCCATTATTTCAAAATAAATTTGAAATAAAGGGCTTCTTACTCCAATTTCTGTAAACCTCATTGTATGAGGAGTAAGGGATGTCGGAGGAGGAGTGCTCTATTTTGAAATAAGTGCTGTGTAGATGTGCCCAAATTTAAAACAAGCTATTTCGACTTACGCTATGCAATTAGTGTAGCTCAAGTTGCGTAGCTTATTTTGAGTTTAGCCCTCCTGTATTGACATACCTCTGCTCACTGCTACAGGGATTAGCTCTTCTCACCAGTGCACCCTTTTCTGGTGGTGCCTTGTCACCATCACCTCTGCTCTGGCACCCATCTCACTCCCAGGATTAAGGCCCCCTTTTCAGTGACACAGCCCTTCAGCTGTGCAACACTGTTTCCTCCCTTCCATAGTCCCTCAGTCCAGCCACTTTCTCAGTGATGAGTGAGGGCAGGGGGACTCAGGTCCAGCCAATACTTTGGGTCCCAGACCAGGGACCCTGTAGATGTCATGGCCACCACTTGCTACATCCACTGTCACTCCTCTGTGGATCTCCCTGGGCCATTTCCCTGCGGCCCCAGCACCCTCTTTGCCCTTGCCTCAGGACCTCAGCCCAGCATACAGGGGGGAAACTGTTCTAGATTTGATCCTAACAAATAGGGAGGAACTGGTTGAGAATTTGAAAGTGGAAGGCAGCTTGGGTGAAAGTGATCATGAAATCATAGAGTTCACAATTCTAAGGAAGGGTAGAAGGGAGAACAGCAAAATAAAGACAATGGATTTCGGGAAGGCGGATTTTGGTAAGCTCAGAGAGCTGATAGGTAAGGTCCCATGGGAATCAAGACTGAGGGGAAAAACAAATGAGGAGAGTTGGCAGTTTTTCAAAGGGACATTGTTAAGGGCCCAAAAGCAAGCTATTCCGCTGTGTAGGAAAGATAGAAAATATGGCAAAAGATGGCCTTGGCTTAACCTGGAGATCTTGCATGATGTAAAAATAAAAAAGGAGTCATAAAAAATGGAAAGTAGGACAAATTACAAAGGATGAATATAGGCAAACAACACAGGAATGCAGGGGCAAGATAGAAAGGCAAAGGCACAAAATGAGATCAAACTAGCT